ACGCTGCAGGTTTGTTCATCTAGGTGGCTGTGAATTTATCACATGTTCATGTGGATTTGTAACAATGGATCCTGGGTAGATAAAAATGTGTAGATATAATGCCTCATGAAGATTGTTGTTGGTTTATTAAAGTATCTGTTGGAGCTGTTGCTGGGATATGAGCTACTTTTGTCCTTAATTCAGAAGAAAGGTAGTTACCATCATTATGTGCTTAGTAGAGCTTGTGTGGAACGAATAACTCAGTGGTACCTCTGTTCAGAATGGCTTGATTTCATCCATGTGTAGAGGACTTGTACCATCTTAAATCTCTGCTCAGATATTACATGAGTTGACAATGTGCCCTTGCTGAAAAGAAGGCAAATGGTATCCTGGTCTGCATTAGGCAAAGTGTTGCCAGCAAGTTGAGGGAGGTGATCCTTCCTCGCTACTCAGCATTGGTGAGGCCACAGCTGAGTGGGGGTGGCGAGTCCAGTTCTGGGGTACCCAGTGCAAAGGAGACATGAACATACTGAATAGAGTTCAATGAGGGGCCTCTAAGGTGATGAAGGGTCTAGAGCATGTGTCTTACTGGGAAAAGCTGAGAGAGCTGGGACTGTTCAGCCTGGAGAAGACAAGGCTCAGGAGGATCTTTTGAATGTGTATAAATACTTGAAGGGAGAGTATAAAGAGGACAAAGCTAGGCGTTTTTCAGTGGTGCCCACTGACAGGACCAGAGGCAATGGGCACAGCCTGGACTACAAAAGGTTCCCTTTGAACATCCGGAAACAATTTTTTTACTGTGAGGGTGACTGAACACTGACTAGTATGGGTTACCCAGGGAGGTTCTGGAGTCTCCAGCCTTGGAGATATTAAAAAAGCTGCAGGGGCATAGTCTTTGACAGCCAGCTCTAGGTGGTACTGCTTGAGCAAGGGGCTTTGACGAGGTGATCTCCAGAGGTCCCTTCCAACCTCGATCTTTCTGTGATTTGTGGCCTGGTTTACTGTAGTATTAAGATTAAAGTGGTCTTATCTCAAACTAGTTATTCCAGGCCCCCTTTTAATCAGTGGAGGGAAAAAAGCCCCAAAGTAATTGCACTTTGAAGTAGTCATCCAAAAATAGGTCAGAGGGACTGTGCCACAAAAGTGCTGATACAACTGTAACCAGAGGTGACCAGCTTTTAATTGGAGACAGCTACTCTGCAGCTGTCTAGTGTTAGGTAAAATGAATCCCAGCTAAAGATTTAATGGACAAAGTGTACTAGGTGGACTGTGTGTCTGCCCAGCACGCTGCTGACATTTGACTGTCAGCAATGGTGCACTAGGTGCAAAGGGTAACATACTACCCAGCTGGGGAAGATGGACAGGGTGAGGATCTGAATCAGTGGGTGAGATACTCTGTTGCTGTTCAGAATGTTTTTCTTAGACAGTAAATGGGCATTGAGGTCTCAGAAGGACTCAGCTCTGAGGCAGCTGCTGAAATTGTTTCTTGGTGTGTATAGTGAGACACGCAGCCAGTTCTAAAAGGCTGTTTTTAGATCATGGACATATCTGCCAGCATAGATAAGGAGCTGCCTGCCAATTCCAGGCGTACACACAAGACATTTAATCAATCACACACAAACATAAACAAGCAAATAAACAACCTCCCCCTCCCATAAACTAATCAAGCTTTTTTTTTTTTTCCCTTCAGATGAAAAAGGAAGAAAGAAACAGCCTGCTATTGTTTTGGTCTGTTTTTTCTTCTTCCTATTTCTAAATAAAAGGAGGGGCACACATACTATATTGAAGCTGGAGCTATTTAGATACATAAATAAAATATGCAGATTAGGAGTTAGTTTAGCCCTATTTATCTGGAAAATAAAACAAAATCATAAAGCTTTTGCCAGCTTTGTTAAATGAAATTGGAATCCCTCCACTATGTGGGGGCCTTCAATCTTCACACTGTGAATCAACAAAATCAATTAATATTGGGCTTAATTGGCCAAATTGATCATACATTAAAACTGATATAATTGCTTAATTGTCATTATAGTAGGGATAAATTTGGCTACATCACTTTGGTTTAAAATGCTAGTCTTTCTGTAGAAATCTGGGAGGTTTGGAAGGAGTTGCATCATGACCTTGTTTAAGCTTCAGAGTAATGATTTTCTTTTTCTTGATAAGCCTGGCCCTGCTTTACCTCTGCTGGCCCTGAAACTTTTTCTCTTCTATTGAAGAACCGTCAGAATTTACTTTAACTGAAGACAAAGTGCCCCAAGACTTTCTGTGTATTCAGGCAGTGGATAACATGAATTTTTAAGCTGACATAACAAGTCTTAACATGGCTTGTGATTCATTCCTAACATAGCCAGGCATACTACTAGAGATGTTAGAGTATTTAGAAGATAGCATTGCCAGAGAATGTGCCATAAATATAAAAGAGAATAATTAAGTCAGATTCTCTCAGGATGAACATGCTAAACTGAGACCAGAGTGCATGTACAGTATATTAAAAATAAATACGTGTACTGCACAGGCGGTGGTTCAGCTGTTGTTTGAATTTAGGGAAATTTTTTATGCAAGCTGATTTCAGTGACTACTCATGAAAGTAACTTACTCTCATGCAGAAATGGGCTCATGGAGTCACTGGCATATTTCTGACCTGAAGCTAGGTAGGTGCAATAAGACTGAAACCAGACATTTCATTTCTTTGATTTTTCGTGGTTCAGTGACTGAGTCTGCTGGCTGGAGTTCTCTTTTTACTTGTGGTGTAATGTTGAAAAAGTCATTTCACCACTGTGTGCCACAGTTTCCTTAGCTATAGGTATATGGCAGTATAATAGCAGTGCATAACCATCTTTGAAAAGAGCTTTGGGAATGTTGAAGTAAAGCATGTCAGTGAAAAGTATTTGTATTATTTTCACTCTCAGTATTCACCAACTTCAGGTTTGTCCCTTTTTATACTCATATATAGCTCTGTCCAACTTTTAGGTACTGTGAAGCTGGCTTGTAATTGTAATTTAAGAAAGGTGTGGGTCTCCTCTAAATCCTTTTATCATACCTGTCTGCCAGATATAGATGCCTTAGACATCCTGGAGCATCCAGTGGTGGGAAATGACAGTAAGGCAACTGTATCCCTCTGTCTAGGCATATTTCAGTCACCACCATGTTGGCTGCTAGTGCCATTTGAGGTGAAAAAAGGTACCTCAGACCCCTGTGTGGGGCTGGCAGGTGTGGTTAAAACTGGGAGAGAAATATGCCCTTCTGGAAAAATAATCCAGCAGGATACCCTGGGAAGTAACTAGAGCTAGGTGTCTGCTTGAGTGATTAAACTGAGCTTTCTGAGTCTTATCTAGGTTGTGCTGAACTGTTCTCCAGGCTCTTCTGACTGTACTGCTATTCATTATAATAGCATACAAATTGGAATACAAATTTGTGTGAAATTGTCTAAATTTGGGTGTTAGTCTTGAACTTTTTTTTTCTTATTTCCTTCGTTCTATTGTGGATAAGATAGGAGAGACTAGACGAGAATATTTCAATTGGTGGGGACCTACCACAATCATTTAATCTACCTGCCTGACCACTCCAGGGCTGACCAAAAGTTAAAGCATTATTCTAAACTGCAAGTAATCCTTTTCAAAAATATGCCTTGTTTTCTTTTATAGCACATTCAGTGGGTTGTTCTTTTTCCTGAAGATATTTTTTCTTTAATAAAGAACAATAAAACATTACTTTCTAAAGTGATGTGTTGAAAGATCACTTTCTGCTGTAGCAAAGGGATCTGCATCAATGAATGCAGGGAAAGTAAATATGGCAAAAAGAGTCTGTTTGACTGAAAAATCATTTACTGTTCTGCATACACTGAAACTGTGCAGTGCAAAAAGGCCACAAAATGCTCTTATAGTGTAAGAAATAAGGATAGTGTCAGGTTTGAATAAAATATGACTCATAACAAAAGTGAATATGGTGTTAGGTAGGTCATGTACAAACACCAAGAACATATCTCTGGTTCATCTGTCTGTCTGGAAGTGAGGTGAGGTCTTTTCCTTGCTCTCCTTGAGCACACTGCTGCACTCCAAAGAAATACTGGGATACTGGAAGGACTCCCTCTGGAGATCTAAGTCTTTTGTAATAAGATTACATGGCAAATGTTTTCTGGAGTAAACTGACTTCATCCTTCTCTTGATCCCAGCACTTCCCAGCACAGGATGTTCGTGGAATATTTTCTACTTTGGGTAAGGACTGCAGAATAAGGTGCATAGTATAAACTCAACAAGTATCTACAGAAGCATATAATCCACTAGATATGTTTGGGAAGGCTTGTTTTACATGAATAGAAGTTGTTGAAAAGCCTTTTTTTGGGGGTGTCCTTGGAATTTAAATGTGTTACCTCATCATCTTCCAAAATGGCCAAAGCACATGAATGGGAAAGTGTCTTCTTTTTTAAAAAGATTGATGTTTTCTTACCAGGTGTTGGGAGGAATTTTGATTGCATGCTCTTCTGATGTATGCAAATAAGATGCATATGAATAAATAAAGCCGTTAAATGCTTAGTTCAGTGTTGTCAAAGTTATTACATTAACAGTAAGATGGAAATTTTTATAGCTACCTGCAGTTATAATAATGTTTAGAGTTTTCAAAGGCATCTCTTCTTTTTGGCTACCATAAAAAAATTCTCAGCCTTCATTTACTAACACGACATAGTAACTTCTGAAGTGTTGCATGTGTTTCATTCCCTGCTAGCGACTAAGGAAACATTCACCACCAAGCCTGAACTTTGGAAGTCCTTGCTGCTATTACATGCTCTGTTCACGTGGATGGATGGAGCCATTGCACCTCCATCTCCACTGATGTTGATGCACCAACTGCAATAATATTTCAAGTCAATCCCTGATTAGTTAGGGGAAGGTCAGCTATTTCTGACTGGCCTCACCCAGACAGAGAAACAGAATGAAGCTCTGCCATCAGTGTCCTAAAATAGAAGGCCCTTTTCATCTGTCAGGCTTGAGCCAGCCACATGGAACACAAATTAGGAGATGCAAACTGAATCACAGGGCATTAAGGAGGAAAGGCACAGGCAGAAAGTCAAGTGTAGAGAAACTTCTTCAGAAATGAGCTGTATTCTCCAAACAGCTTATTAGTCACTTTCCCAATAACTTTATTTATTTTACTAAAGTACTTAAGAAGGTTTTTTGTAAGATAACTTTGATAATGAGACTAAGTGTGGGGGTATTTTTTGGAGGCTTCTTTGCAGCTCTGGGGGTTTTGCTTTTTTTGGTGGCATTTGGAACTGATTATTGGCTTCTTGCTACGGAAATAGGAACGTGTTCAAAAGCACCTGAAGATGCTGGGGTTAGTATGGATGTTTTTATTTATAATGAGAATTGAATATATAGGCTTCTTGGATGTTTATTTTGTAAGAATTTATTTCTGTATGAACTTCTGAATATTCTCATCTTGACCTTCTGGAGACTTCTAAGCCTACTTCAAACCCTGTTGTAATCAGGTATAATTAACTCTAAAATGGATTTGTATTTTGTGATACTACTTTGGCAACATGAGATTCTTTCAAATGAAGTACAACTGGTTTGACATGCTATAGCCAACCTCTACTCCGATAGGCTGAGTTTCATTATGAGGGTGGTATTTTGTGCCTCAACATCTGATTTCAGTTGTATGATAATGCCTTTTTTTGTATATATTTTTTTCCTGCCCATAGGGAGAGAAGGCCACTTTCCATCATGAAGGTTTCTTCTGGAGGTGCTGGTTTAGTGGAAATGTAGGAGAGAATAATGCCAGCATGTGGAATTTCTGGTATAGTAAGTAACTTTTTCATTTTACATTATCTCCAGTAGCTTGTTCTCAAAATCGCTGTGGTTTTGGTGTTTTTTTTTTTCCCATCTTATGAATCACTGGGTTTCTTACGGCTTCTTCAGTGATCAGGTTCTTTAGCTACCCTAAAAGAAATTCTTGACACATTTTTGTAAGTTAAAGGAAACCCTGGGACAAAATGATACACGTTTAACTGTCAGCTTTGTGAGTGTTGTGGCTGCTCTGTTAACCTGAGTCCATTCTTATCAGGACAGTCTCTTGCCACTTACGTTAAACAGACTGTTTGTTTCTGCAGTGTGGGGAAAAGAGCTTAGTGGTTAGGATGGTCCATGAATTTTCGTCTGGAGAGTTTTTCCAGCTAGTGCTACAAGTGGGTTAAGGATGACATGGGTAGTTTCACTGTGAAAACAGTGAAACTGTGCACATCATCTCCACAAGAATTTCTCTACTAAACGCACAGATGACCCTTCCCTTTCTTTCACTACATACAGATAGTATTTTACAACCAAAATGTCCCATGAAGAGAGGTCAAGCAAAACATCTTTTCCTGTCTTTGACCCTATCTCTGAGGTACAGAGCTCCCTCTCCTTACTGCAAGATTTACACAATCCTTGTGAAAAGCAGATGCCATCATACAAATTTGAGTTCAATAACCCATGTTTTCCTAACTATATTGCTTGGTCTTAGGTGGCAAATGTAATATTCACTGTAGTTAATTTTCCTTTGTTACTTATCTGGAGAATTCTGCGGTCAGGTATCTGAAATTTAAATGTGATTTAGGCTATAGTCAGCTTTTATCTTTCACAAGGAAGAACGTGATGTTTTTATAAGCATTTAATATAAAGGGTGAAATTACCCTTCTCTGGGGATATTGATTCTGTAAACTAAACTCATATGTAAACTTTCTGAAGATGCTTGATATTTTTCATTTTTCTTTCACGAGACAAAAAGTAATTTCCTGGGATTTTTTTTTTTTTTTGAGAGAGACATGCAATAATGAGATGCACATAATTAACCCTCACAAGTGAAAGATATATATGCATGTAAAAACATACATATGCATTGCATATAAATTGAAGTGTGCCTTCAGCAAGGCTGCTTTACTGTTCTCAAAATCTGTGTTGCCCTTTAAAGAATATCCTTGGCTGGATAACAAGGCTGGTATCTCCTACCAAACTAAATCCACTGTAAGTTATTGCCTGAGGAAAAAAACTGGAATTTTGACCTGTGGAACCCAGTTTGCCCATTTGAAGAACAGGCTTAAAATATTTTATTTTTAAGGCAATAAATTATTAATCTTAATCTTTCTTTCACTTTTAGCTAACCAGTCGCCTTCTAAGAATTGTACACATGCTTATCTGTCACCATTTCCTCTTATTCGAGATGAACACAACTCAACCTCCTATGATTCTGCAATCAGTAAGTATTTTTTTGGTTGCAAATGGATTCAATGCCTATAGTTTCAAGAAAACCATTTGTATGCTTCAGTGTAAAACTTCCTTATCACTCCACAGAGTTTAATTAATAGTTTTGGTGTTTCATACTTCTCATTATTTTACAGCATACAAATTTAAGCCACTAAGTTGCAAAGTAGTTAAATGAATGCTTAGCTTTAAGCATAATGGCAGAATGATGGTAATTTTTTTTTTTTTAAAGAGATATTTCCTTTTTAAGTTCTTTATTTTCTCACATAAAAAGTATGTTCCTTGAACAAGTACTTCTCATGCATTCCAGTAAACCTTTTTTGTTATTGTTAAGTAATCACATGTGGAAATATATTGCAGTTTTACTTTATGAGGAAGGAGTAGAGGGGCCTTAATACTGTCTAAGTTTATTCAACTAATTCAGATATACTGCACTAACTGCTGGATGTGCCAGTTCCTCTACACTGACGCTATAGGGAGCTGAGGCTCTGAAATTACTCTCAACAGTGTGTGCCTAAGAATGTTGCAATAGACAGTTTTGTTTTGTCGTTTCTGATGATTTCATAGGACTTTTTAAAATAACCCACAGTGTGTGGTTGCTGCATGTCTCTGAGCTCACTCAGTGATCCTTTCCTGTCCTGAAGCTGTAATTATGCCTTTGCTAACATTAAAGTGTCTTCAGGATCCATTTTTTGTGCTGCAGACATGAAAAAGTAAGTTGGACTGATAATGATTCTCTTAATCTTTAGAAATTGTGAGCTGTTTGTCCAGGAAAAATTCAGACCTCACCATTCAGAGATCTAATCTGTAATTTTACAGCACATCTAGAACATTTTTATCTTTCCATTTGGAAATGACAGAGTCATCAGGTCCCAATAATCTAGACAGAGTTTATATTCCACCATTCACTCATACATTCACAAAAGATCCTCAATTCATATTACATGATTACACAGAAGTGGACAAACAAAGAATAAAGAAAGGAGAATGAATATCATCAAAAGTTTAATTAATTTTAGTTATGTTTGCCAAAAGAACCAGTGCTCAAATATAATTTTCTTATCTATATACTTCATATAAGAAGATTAAAAATAGACAGAACTGTAGTAGGGATGCTGGCCCAGGTAGGGTGTACTCAAAGCCATTCCTGCTATATAAATAGATACTGTTGGATTGCTTTTGAGCTCATTAAAACTTGCTGGTTTTGTTCATTCACCAGTTTTGTTCAGCATCTTGGCACAGTGGTGAGGACTTCACCCACCTGCAGTGTAAGGTGTGGTGTCCACAGCTGTGCTAGACATTGTTTGTGGTTAAAGGGCTTTAAAGAAATTTTACACCATGTTATTTATCTTAACCTGTAACAGGTATCTAAATGAACTCGGGGAAGCTTGACTCTAGTGACTTTCTGTGATGGTACAGTGGTTTATAGTGACAGCTATTATAGTGTGCAGCTCCTAAGCAGACTTAGACAGCACCTCATTGTGTTACCAGCAGATTCATTTATATGATGACTCACAAATGTATGTGCAACAAACTACAACCTAGGAATAAAAAAATATGAATTTAGCCCATAGAATAAAAGTGCCAGAATAGTGAACTCTGCATCCTTAAATAAACATGCATTTGTGTAATCATAATCAGACTGGTTATCCGGTCAGGCTATTTTGAAATCATAATAATATAGTACTTAATTAATTGCTAGCTAGATTACTGCATAGTATCATGGCATTAGATTACTTAACAGTGACATTCAAGGACTATCACACTTTTATACAACTCTTTTACTACAGGACAATGCTAGGCCTGTTTTTGAAAAATGTACAAAGTACTTATTTGTACAGGGAGTCCTATTGGTTGCAGTGGGATTATTCCTAAGACAAAGAAGTGCAAAATTTAGCACTTAGCTAAATCATTAATTTTATTCTTGAGGTTTGTTTTTTTTTTGTTTTTTTTTTAACTTTATTTGGAAATGAACAATAGTTCCCTAGCTGTTGTAAACTGCCCCAGCGCCTTCTGAAGCTAAATTGGAAGACATTTAATGGGGCTGCACTGACACATTAGTTTAATACTCTGATTTGTAGCTGCTAATACTTTTTTTCCTGACTATTAGTACCTTATTTAGTCTAGTACCAGGCACATTGCCAGGATTTGAAGTAATGCCTAATAAAATGTAGAATACACAACATTTATAAGACTGAAGTGAAATTCTGGTTCAGCAACTGTTAAATCTAAAATGGTGTGATCAAATTTATTGGCAGGTTTGTTACTGGGTTGAAATTAACTTAAACTAATCTAAAGAATACCAGCAATGAAATCTGGGAATAAAAATTGTACAGTGAAGTGTTAGCAGTAGCCTATTTCTAGGGCAAAAAAATGGTGTTATGCAGTACAGTCACATAATTGCCCATGAGAGGCTGTAATACAGTACATTTACTAAAGGAGAACACCCCAGCCACTAAGCAGTGATAAAGTAAGAAGTATTTAAAAAAAGTAATATATTCCTACTGTGAATATTGTATTTGTTTTACCGTTAAGATTATTAAAAAAAAAGGGTTTATTACTACTAAGGGGTATTAAAGGGTACTGAGTGAAACTGAGAAAAGTCTTGCAAGGTTTACTGTGCTGCCAGGTATGTCTTCTGTGTGCTGATGAGATCTCTGACCTCATTCATAGTTGTTTATCTGCAGAGAAGATAGATACTCCTAATTTAGAGCAGGTCAGGCACTTTACATTTCACAGTATTTTATGTTGTGAGTGGCAATACTCATGTCAGATGAATTTTGATATCTCTTACATGAGAGGTAAAAAAGACATATTCTAAATTGCACTCCACAGTTAAATCACAGGAAAAGTTCAATTTAGGAGGTAAGCTTGTGGGTGAAAATTCAAGGCAACGTTCCCAAGTCATTTTGCCGGTCCTTAGCGATGCTTATGCAACACTGTACTCACACATGCTTCGGAAGTTTCTCAGCATTTTTAGTGCTTAATAATTTGTATTGATACTAATTTTAATATTAAGTGTCTGGGTTTTGGGTTTGTTCTTTTTTTTTTTATAAGTCATAGAAAATGTATGGGTTGATGGCTGAGATTTTAAAACACTTGAAGTCACCAAGGACAATAAGATATGTAGTATGGTTTCATGAGGTTGATGTTAACCTCTCCAATAGTGGATGGGTGTCACTTTGTCATTTTAGCTAACCTGTTCCTGAATAACCCATTATGGAGCTTCAGAGGTGTATATGTATAACTACTACACAAGTGTGTGTTGTAGGTGACACAGCTATGGAACTTTGTCAAAACACATTATTGCTTCTCTTTCATGTCACGCAGCAGTAACTTCTTAAAATATAAATCTATGTCTTAGTTTATAATCAGTTCTGGGACTTACTGTACTAGATAATTTTCAGATATTTCTCAAAAATTTGGCCCCTTATTCAAAACCAGATAATATTTCTAGATTTCAAACAATGCAAAAGTCTCCAGAGGGACCCAAATTAGCATCTTTAGGGAGAAAAACAAGTAGCAAGGGAAAACTACAGGTCATGCAGTTTTAAAGGAATATACTGCAGTTAGAATGTTCCCATAATATGGAGGCCAAATGGTGCAGAACTCAAAGACAAGCATACCGTGTGTACTCCTGTTTTCCGATAAGTACTATTTTATTTTTAGGCCTGCATGTCACTGCCAAGGCAAATGTTGTACCCGACAAAGGGGCAGCTTACCAAGACAAGTTACAGAACCTTCTGCTTAGCAGTCTTGCAACACAGAGCAATGGTATCAAAGATTAACGCTGCAGATAGGTTTACCTCGGACTCTGCAGTAGTGCTTGTACTTTATTTCTTCTGTTGTAAGAAATACTTTGATTAATGCATGTATTTGAGGTAGCTAACAAACGTATCTGTGAAGTACCTTGCAGAGGCAAGTGTGCTCTTTGTCATCTGGACCAGAATATGGGCTACCTTAAGAACTGCCTCAGTGAGGCTTTAACTGGTGCAAACTTATGTTAACACTTCGCGTAAGTGCACTGAACCATTATTTCTTGAAACAGGCTTCTTGGATCACAGTGTCAGCCCTTTTCATGGGATATAAAGAAGCATAATTCAGAGCAGCATCTTCTGTTGCATTTTAGTTGTCATGTTTTACCTCAGTCTCAGAGCAGCAAAGTCTTTGACTTGAAGAGTAAGTTCATTCTTAGGAAGGTTTAATTTCAACCGGCTCTTTTGCATCCATCTGTAGATGCCAGCTAAGGTAAATGACAGTAGGGCTGCATTGTAATTTTGACTTATTAGCCCTGTAGAAACTGATCTTGCCCATCTGGGCAGAGAAGATGGGAAATGTCTGAGCAAAAATAGGCCTTTGCAGAAAAATGGCTTCTTGCTAACGAAAAAGTCTAAATGTTCTTAAGATGTTTCTCAGACCTGTGCCACAAATGATCCAAATGACTTACTGTCTTGCAAATTAGAGGGGATAGTCTTTTGCTTGAACAGTTGCAGATCTGGGAGCATTGCAGACTTTTTACCTGCCAACTATACTGTGTTTTCTAACTGATGTTTAATGAGAGAGTTAGCTGTATAAACAAGCATTAGGGTCATCAGAATTTATCTGTGAATCTCTAGAGTAAATTATTATTTCTAGAGAAATAGAATGGAAGCTTATTTCAGGTGATAGCCAGGTCAAATCAGTATTTCATGTATAATGTATAAAATTGTTATGCTGTTGGAGCATAGAAACAGCTTTTGTCTTGTATAGCTACAGAGAGGTTTAAGCAAATCTTCATCAGTTACATATGTACTCCTTTTTTGTGTTATGTTTCCAGGAATATTTGAACAAATAAAGCTTTTCTGGTAAAATTTCACTAAAAGCAGACTTCAGAGTTTCTTGTATGAGGAACAGATAATGAAACCGGATACTGATTTTGTAATGCTGGAGAGTCTTGTATCCTCATCCGTTCAGAAAATAGAAACAATGTTGTATGATTCAGGTGGCTGACTATAATGGTATTGAAGAAAGCTTTTTCAAGGTCCGTTTTGGCCAATGTGTCCTATTATGTAGCATGACTTTGAAGTACCTTGGGCCATCCATGTAAAAGAGTTGGGTGGTTATAGACTGATTTAGTGGTATTAGGTTTTAAATGAGAAAGTAATGTCCCATGGACTTGGGGACTGCGATGAAGCTTAGCAAAGTAGTCCCATGAGTAAAATAATATGAAATTGCTTCAGAAACCCAAGACTGAAGGACTTGAGAGATTTACCTCTCTAGGTCTCCATTCACTGTCCATTTGCTTTAAGTGAATCATTTAACTATGAGTTTAACTTCAAACAGGTGCCTAAATCCCGTAAGAGATAGAGTACTTAGAGCAGAACATACACTTAACTGCTTTGCTGAACCACGACCTTATTTCTTACCTATTATTTCCATATTCTTTTTTGTTTATGTGGAAAGAGGAGTTGTATTGGATATGAACCAAAACACAGTTTTAACCCTTCTGCCGGCTTATTTCAGATACATTCATCCTTTCATCCCCAGATCTGCTGACCAGTGTGGCAGAAAATTATGTCGCTGAATGTTTGCATGGATTAAAAAGGATGTTATTTAAGAAGTGTGGCTAATGTGATGTGGTGAATGTGATCTAGCTAACATAGACGCAAGACGGTATATACTTTAGCATGAGTTAAGCTGGTCAAGTTAAAAACTATAGATTTTTGGAACACAATAGTGGGAAGCACAAGCTGATAATGTGTAGTGCACCTCCAGATTTCAGATGGGGGCAAACCCAAATTTTTCCAGAAGCTGGCTCTAACAAGCTGTATGAATGGGAAACTTTTAAGTATAAGAACCAGCGTAATACTTTCTTGGTTGTGTTTTGCCATAACAGTAAGCAGGTGCTGTCAAATGATAACTGGCAGTTTCTTTTGTGACTCACTTTTCCTGACTTGACAGCTGGTTTATATGCTTTCCCTCAGTTGGGTGGAAATGTTTTTCACTGACTGAATTGTCAGTGCTTCAAGATTTTCAGATCTGACGATGGAGATCTTCGCAACTCATAATTTTACTAATGGGTTGTGTTAATGTACCAATTTTGAAATTCATGGGAGAAATGTATGTCACTCTTGTAGCATTTGTAAAATGATGACTTTGTTAAATGGATGTGCAATTAATCAGCTAAAAAAATAATTGTTTGAAAGATTCTTTTGGCCAGGGTATGTCACAAAACTCTCGGCTCATTTATCACAAGCTGCATCCATTAATTCAGCGCCGCTTGGCACTAACAGGGCTTCTGAAACATCATGTTTTAAATTTAATACAATACAGAGAGCTTTAGAGCAGGAATAGGCTGGCTTAAAATACGTAACCATTTTTCAGAAAGCTGGGTTACATTTTTTGAATTTCTTCCCCCACCTGCTTTAGATTTTCATCTATTGAATATAACTGTATGTAAGGGGAATTATCCAGTTGTAGATTGTAGAGAACTTGCAGATTGCTATTGGTGATATGGTCTGAGCACTAAGAATGTCAAGATGTTGCAGCTTTCTGCTTCTCCCAGGCAATTGGGTTAAAACAATTGCATCCTTTCAGTCTAGTCATTTATCCCAAAGAAACATTGCTACAGCTTTGGTGTACCATTTTCTAAAGAGCATAAATTTGGTCAAGTTGTTATCTTACAAGTCACTGCTAAATATTAAGCAGACAGATTTTATTCATGGCAATTTATAACCTATTTTCCATGATCATCAGATAAGGACTGAGGTTCAAACCTAATTTAGTCCACATGACATATAACTTGTAGGCACAATAGAATGAATGTTTCATTTGTTAAAAAGGCAAGTAAGAACAAAAGGGGAAATTAAATGTCTTTGTTAGCCAAATATGCCACTTGTTTAAGTTCTAAAAAGTATTGTATTCTTTTTTCCTCCTTCCCTTTCTCCAGTTTATCGAGGTTTCTGGACAGTTCTTATGCTCCTGGGAGTAGTCACTATCGTGATGGCTAGTTTCTTCATCATCTGTGCAGCTCCTTTTGCCAGCCACATTCTGTACAAAGCAGGAGGAGGCTTTTTCATCATTGCTGGTGGGTATACTGTTTGCTCAGTCAATTAAAGAATAGAAAGATGAGGTATTTCTTCCATTTTCCTTGACCCAAAATTATATTATTCATGGCTAAAAGAAAGAAAAAGCATATGCTTCTATCCTTTGGCTTGTGGAGTGCCTGCCATGGAGACAATTCTTTCCACAGTTACTTAGTCATGAAACTATTCTAAAAGCAGCTTTTGGATTAAAAAAAAGCAAACAAAAAACCAGGACAAATCATGGAATTACACTGCAATTTCAATCTACTCTTTTAACAGGAAAAAGAATGCATATTTAGGGGTGCTGCCTTATAGGAATTTCAAAGGCTGAAGAGAGGTGCTTTTTAATAAGTGACAGAAAAGATCATTATGGTGGGCTCAAGGAATTTGGAAGACAGAGAACAGTAGAGTACAATAAATAGTTGTCACATATGAATAAGTGGGAGCTCTAAACCTCTGTGAATGAAAGATAACAAATAACCTAACTTCCTCCTTCCTCATAACCCAAATGTACTGTGGAGGATGCACTCTGCCATGATTCAGGTGATATGGGCAGCTCTCTGGGATGCTGCTCAGTTAACCTTGCAAAGTCTGGGAAGATGTCACACTGGTGTGTAAGATACAGTTGTGCAGGATGTAAATGATATTATATGCTCAGTCACTGTTCTCCTTTGTATATAGCCTGGTGAGAGGCAGCCCTGTGAGAGCAATGTTTTGTTACAGGTTAGAGCCACTCATGTCAGGACCCAAAGGCCTGGGCTCTTTTTCTGCTTCTGTTACTGACCTGCTGACCTTGCTTACCAACTTCACCTCTCAGCTCTTCATGCACAGCAAGTCATGATTATTCCATTTTAAAGGATCCTCAGTGAAGTGTGGGAAGTATTTTATAATATTTTTTCTGAAAAACCTCCTGCATACTTGAATTTGATCCCTTGAGAATTACTCCTCCACACTTTTAAAAGACATACAAAATATATTCATAGTCTGATGGAAATCACAAGATATTTCAGTGCTTTTTGTCACTAATTTGCAGGGTAAGAGCCCATGTGTGCCCTACTCTTTCTGCATTTGTAATTGTAAAAAACCTCAGCTGTGACTAGAAAGTAGCAGAGGCTGTTACAGAGGAAAAGGGCACTTGAACGACAGCAGGAACTGATGGGCAGAGGTGAGAAGCGACATGTCTTTTCTCCTCTCTGGGTCAGTTCATCTGCCCTCCTCTAGGCAGGGGAAAGTTAGATCCCCAAGTCTGCACTAGTCTCCTTTGTCTTCCCTAGGAGGCCTGCAAGAGGCAATAAAAGAGGCATTTGCGGTAAAAACAGTAGGTACGTAAGAAGTTCCCCTAGCTGCAGATTCATTTCGTCCTGAAAGAGGGGCCTAATTGGATCAGATGAATGCTTGTGGAGGAACCCTACACCTCTGTTTCCTTTATTGAGGGAATGTAGAGAGGCTATTTTTTTTTAGATGTGTGAAGTTAAGTGAGCTTTGTTATCCTAGTGTGTGACTTTGGGCCTGTCTCTTTGGCCCTCTCACCCTCTGTCTCTTTAGAGCAGATGTTATTCAAGGGAAATCATGACTTCCTACTCTGTATGTAGTATTTTTCAACTTAAGAACTGTTCTCAATCAGCATTTCAGAGAAGAGCTGTGTTATATTTATTATTGCCATTATTGCTGTTGAAAAGCAAAGATATTTAACAAAATCCCACTATAATTTGCCAAAAGGTAATGGTGACAGCACAGTTTAGGACCCTGGAGCCATTCAGCTTGCACGGGAAATTTTGGCTTGGGTAGGGGGACATGGTTCTTGACCAAGCTCTTCTGTATCTACTGCCAGTCTCACCAGTAGGGTGGAGTTGCCCAGGCAGGTGCTCATTGTAAACATCATGATCCTACCCGACACTGAAGATCACCCGCAAAGACACTGAAAAAAGCTTGTTGCTCTCAGCTCTTCTCAGAAGTACTCATATTACCAAGGTGAAGGTTTAATTATATCATGAATTAAAATCATGCTGTGGGAGTGACCATGCTGACATAAGAATTGCTTATAAATCCTTTGCATTTGATATCATTTAAGCTCTATTCTGTGACATGTTTTGGGCACAACTCAGTTTCCCAACTAACTGTGGTATTACTGATCAATGGCCCATTAATGGAATTAAATGAGGAGTAAGAGGGATTCTCTGACCCAAAGGTATGACAGCGTGAAATTGCTATATTTCTTTCTCTCCCAGTAGTAGTAGTTAATACCTGAAATCTGGGATAACTTGGGGGCAGAGCTAAGGTAGAACCTGATGCAGAAGAGGCAGGTTTTAGCCTGCCTTTAGAAGGCAGGATGGTGTGCGCTACTGTGTGCCCTGCTGCCCTGATCTGTTCCTCTAACCATCTCCTTCAGAACTAGAAGAGCTAAAAATAAAAGGAAAGCAGGGTATGAAGGGGAGAAGTGATGAGAAGTGGTACATATTTACCATTCATACCAATATGTGATCAGGATGCAGCCAGGGTGTTGGAACTAGGTGATCTTAATGTCCTTTCCAACCCTAACCATTCTATGATTCTATGATCTATTTAAACACAGACCTTAGGGGAAGATGAAAAGATGTGACTTAAATCATAGGTGAAGTTAGAGTTCTTTTAAAACAGAAACCAGCAGAATAATTTGAAGAATAAAAGGAATTATATACATTGTTTTGAAAGGGCCTGAATGCTGTCATACCAAAAAAATTGAGTAGCTGTTATACTGGAGAGAATAGTGTGCTTCTGAGAAAGAAGTTAGACAAGATAGTTCTGTGGAAGTTTGGTAGAAGATGGGAAAATCAGTCGTTTTTCTACTTACATATCCTTAAAGAAAAACATTAGATGCAGCAATTTTAATACCTGTTATTGGACTGAAGTATCTTTTGCAACCTCAACTGACAAATTAGATGGCAAATAAAAGCTCTGCCTCCACTGAAGAGAACAGCTTGTAACATGGTCTGCTGTGGCATCTTAGGGTTCAGAAAGCAGCTGAAGATATTATTGGGAATGGAATCCATGCCAACTGTTCAGCCATCTGAAAGCTAAGTGTTTTTTTGAACCAAATACTTAAACTTCTACCATCAATAGAAACACACTCTCAGAGGGACACTCCATCTTATCTGAGCTAAGGCAGTTAGACTTGCCTTTTGAAGGTAGCTGTAAAAGAAGCCATGACAGAGCTCCTGAGTGACACAGAATAAATTTAGGTTGGAGAGGACCTCTTGTGTCAATCAGGTCTGACCTTTCATGATTCAAAGCAGGGCTGGCTACAAAGTTAGATCAGGCAGCTCAGAGCCTTATCCAGTCAAGTTTCTAAAAACTCCACTAACTGATGCTTCACAGCATCTTTGGACACTTGTCTCAGTTTGACCAACTTAATTGAGAACTTGTTTTTTTCTGTGTATCCACCTGAAATTTTCCGTGCTGCAGTTTGTGATCACTGTGTCTCATCCTTTCAGTGTGCAGACCTCTGAAGAGTCTATCCCCATCATCTCTAGAACTCCATTTAGAAAGTCTGTTTTTCTTCTCTTCCTGAGCTTATTCAGCCTCTCCTTATCCTCCATGCCCCTAGCCATCATGGTGGTCATCATCTCAGTTTATCAGTATCTCTCTTTAACCAGGGAGCCCCAAACTGGACAGTTTTCCAGATATGATGTTTATTTTCATTTACGCCTGACCTGCTTGAACTGAGAGGGACCATTCTTATGCTTTAAGGAAGTTGCCTGTGAGGAACAACAAGATATTTTAGGCACTGTTGTCCTTCAGAGCATCCTTTGCCCTTCAGAGCAACCTTCCTTGGGATCCTGCTTACCAGTTTCTTAACAGGCTAAAGTCTGTTCTCCTGAAGTTCTGGGTCTTTAATCTCCTGCTCACCTTCTGTATTCCTCCTAGGATATTAAACTTTGCCATTTATCCTTATTGGTGGATAGCAGGTCCAGCAAAACACTTCCATTATTAGTTTGTCTGTTCCACACCTGTTTCAAAAAGTTATCATTGATTCTAGAAGATATTGGGGTGGCTGAGTCTCTGGTAAGATCCAGAAATCATTACTATTTTCCCAGTCCACTACTTCTTCTTCATTGGGTGGCCTGTAGCAGGTGCTCACCATGATCACACCATTTTTGTCCACCTTATTGATCTTAACCCTGATCATAAGCTCCCATGACTCCCATGACTCCCATAAGCTGTCCATTCGAGACAGGCTGCAGCCATCCCACCGCATCTTAACTGCTTGTTCTTAAAGAGTCTGTATGCACCCAGCAAAGCATTCCAGTCAAGCAAACTGTCTTACCATGTCTGCAGCTGAAATGGCATCATCCACTAGAATTCCTCCTATGTTATTCCAACAGCAGGTTTATTTATATACACACATTTGAGATGGGCTTTCAGCTGTGCTGCTTTCTTAGTGGAAGTGTATGGTCCTCCCTTATTGCTCTGTCCCATTCCCTTCCCCCTGCTTATCTGGAGGCTTTAATGTCTGTCTACTGATGGTCCTTGCTTTCATCTTTTCTCAAGGTTACTGAGCTTACTGTTCTTTTCCCACCTTGTCTGATGGATCTCACCCCTCTCCAGCAATCCTCAAATCTCAGAGAAAGTCTCATGGTTACAGAAGCCCAAGCCCTGCTTGCAAGACTAACTACAAAGCTAGGAGCTGACGCAGAGTGTAAACCAACATTTGTATAGTTTTTATTGTTTGGGAAGCAGGTTTGAGACCAACATCACCAGAGGCACATACCTTTGCCTATAACCCTTACAGCCCTGCAATTACTCACTCAAGGTCTCTCTGCCAGCTTCACTGGTGCTCACGGGGAACCACAAAGGGTCTCCAACGGCCAAAGAGACCTCAGAAGCCTCTCCGCAGAATCACATATCGGGGGTTCAGAATAGCAGCAAACCTACCCACAGAGCAATTATGATGTCTGATCTGTGGCAGAGTCACACACCTATGTTTTCTTCATCCCGATCTTTAAGAAAGGCTGCCCACTTCTCTTGTTGAGTGCTGCAGCTGAACTCAGTGGAGTACAAATGGAGAGGCATACACAGTTATTGGCATTTGTGGCAGCTTATTGACTAGCAGCTTCCTCTGTTAAGCTTTGTAGCCACATTATCTCCTTGAGGCTGCAGATGCTACACCTGTAAGGGAAAGAGCATATCAGTTAAAAAATATTATAGTCAGTGACTTGAGTGCTGTGTTTGCAGCCTCACCTCCATGTCTACAATATCAGATGGTGGACCAAGAGCAGCTAAAGTAATGCAAACCATAAGAAGCCTTATAATTGCTTCAAAGGTCATAGGAAACGAAGGGAAAGCTGTCCTAAATTAATAACTTAAGACATCCTTCAGTAAAGTCCATAATTACCTTGGGCCTGGCTAGTGGTGAAAACTGTCCTGTTGTACTGATGTCCAGCAATCAAGCCTCCAGGATGTGCACAGAGCATTACAGAATCACACCCTCATAAAGAAGCAAGATTAGAAGTACCAGTATGACTTCTGCTTCCTGCCAAAAGAGTGAAAAAGCTGATATTTTAATTCTAGCTCCTAGATAAGGACAAAAATCTGTCTTCAGAGATATGTGCCAACTCCCATAACACTTAAGTGGGATCCTCTGCATGTACTTCAGAGTGGAATGCCAACCCTACTTTTTAAATAAAGGTCACAAGAGGCCAAGGTAGGTGTCAGAATCTGTAATAAGGAAAAGGACATAAAAATGCAACTGAAAAAAAAAATATATATACATGCACACAAGTTTTCCTCAAGTGAGATAAAAAGTTCTAAACTTCTAGGCGCAAGTAAAAGGCTCACATCATTCTTTACAGCACCTGTTGTCTTCGTGTCTGCATAGTAAAAGATTCATGCCATAAACAGCCATTCACCATTGACAAGTGAAAGGCATTTCTACGTGGGAAGAATAAGTACTAAAGGCCAGCAAACTGCTTCTTGAATTCATAGACGTTTCTAAAGGTTCTGTATTCTTCTCTGCAATATGCACAAGTGTTTGTTTGAAAGAAATTCAAAAGAATGAATGCAAAAGACAGAAAGAGTGACCTCGGAGAAGTCCAAGTCTTATCACACTGCACAGAGCTGTGTATCAAACATGTGTGTTCTTAAAAAAAATGCAAAACGACAAAAAGGAGAGAAAAAGGAGGAGGTGGGAAGTATTTATTTGTCTTAATCTCTCTCAGACATATTTCATGTTCTAAGAATAATTTCCCTCATCATTCTGATTCATGCAACTGCTGTTTTATTTTATATTCACTAAAAGGCAAGGGCATATGGACACCAGCACACTGTGTAAAAGGTCTAAATGCCCAAAGTGTAGAAATACATCATAGCACACATTGTTCCTAAAAATATTTGCTTCATGAAATTGTGGATTTTTTTTTTTTTCAATCTCAGTAATTTTGCCCTGGAGCTTGGCTATGAGAGTTCATAACATTCAAAATAGGTAGTGCAAGATTGCCGGAGCAGATTTCCCAGAATAAATGTATATTTAGTATGTTCCTAAGTGCTTAACTCCCATGAAATTACAACTCTGTGAAAATTAGACAAAAGGAGCACTAATGAAAGAAATGCTGTTGGAGGCAATAGGACATGGTCAGTTTTTTCTTAGCCTGATACTAGTGTTCAAGACAATTCTTGAACACACTAGGCAATATACCTACTAATTAGCTTCCATTAACAGATAGTGAGAACCCTTAAATACTCCTTTAGTGCTTTAATTAAATAAGAGGGTTTACATATTGTCCCTTTCCTTTTCTTCTCTTTTAAAAAAGGACATTTATCTCTGCTTGACATACATTTCTTCAGCAAATTTCCATACCCAATAGTTTGCCACCAGTTTGCCACACACGGGTATTAGCAGCTTGCTGTGAAATCACCTGATGGATTTTAGCTTCCCTGAAGTCGCTTGACCACTGGCAGCACTTCCTTGCTATTTTGCACCTACATGGTGCTGGCTCTGTTTTAACCAGCTAGCTATTGTTTCAGACTGCCCAAAGAGCAAGGGGTGCCCATTCTGAGATTTAAGCACTCTAATAGATTCTTGTTTTCATGGCAGATGCTTCTGAGCTACTTAGTGTTGCACCTGCCTAGGTTGCCAGAGGTCATGTCGGATGTGCAAAGCTCAGTTATACTTCCCTGCTACTATAGTAAGGGAATATGCATCACCACTTTTTGTAATTATTATTGTTTTGGAATAAGTTTGCCTCAAGAATAAACAGAAGACTACAGATATTTGAAAATGACACAGCATCTGAAGAGGTAAATTCCAATGTTCGTATGGATTTTGTAATATTATTAATGTATATTTCAAAATCTTTGGGCTATATTTTTTTTTTTTTTTTTTTTCTGTTCTTGACATTTTGAAACATTGGACAAACTCTATGTTTCTAATAACTCCATTTATAAATTTGGCCCTGAATCTTTTTACATCAAAATTTACTAGCTCTGTTTGCTTCTAATTTTCCTATGTTGCCTGCATTATCTGTTATCATTAGATGTTCTGTTATAGGAATCTTCCTCTCAATTTGACTTACGTTTGGAGTGTCTTCAATTTAATTTCTCAGTCTTCATGTCTGGCCCCAAGGTGATCCTTTTCTCTGATTGTTTCACTGGTTTTATGTTTAATACAAGCACAGTATTAAATTACATCAAAATTGAATTTTACTCAGGTAAAATACTTTCAAAATGAATTTATGCCTTTTAGAGCTGAGTGTTGTTTTTTTTCAAACTTTGTTAGGAATTTGAGCCCTAGCAAAAAATGTAATCCTGAAAGTATATTTCATAGAAAGGAAATGTCTCTGCCTCCTTCTTTATTTAGTTTTTCCACTTTCTTTCAGCCTCATAAAAGTTGTAGATCCTTTGGGATTTTCAGTCACATTTTGATTATGCCTTAGGTTAACTACTTCAGCTCATTATTTGGTGGGCTTCAAAAGGTAGTGTTCACTGGGACTGCATTGTGAGCTCTCACCTGTCAGATATTCAGGATGTCCACGATGCAAAGCTATTACATTTTGACCATAAAGCACTAACAGGAACACCAGCAGATCACTGTAAGGGCAGGCAAAGAAGGTGGTGAAGCAGCATCTCAAGATGGGGATGGAGAAAGGTAACCATGAAAGATTCACAGGACAGATGGAAGCAAATGCTAGTCCATGGGTGCTTACAAAGTACACTTGCGGATTTTGCCACAAGTGTCACATTTGTTCATGGTTGCACTGCAAATATTTAGGAGGGTGGGGAAGAGACCACAAATACCTTTGACTTCTGCTCTGCAGCTTTACATCCTGTAGGCTCAGGTTTGGCAAGAAGGGTTCCCAGAAGTATGCACTGGTTTATGGTTCTAATGAGGCATGTAAGCATCCTTGGGTAAAAACATGATGGGGTGGTGTCCTTCAAATATTTTAATATTGGCATAGATCGTTTTGCTGCTGCAACTGTGCTGTGACAGCTGGACCTAAGGGGGCAAGTGGGTACAGGATGGAGCACGCAAAATATTCAGACTTGTGCCCTCAGTTTTCTAGCACATCTTCTGCTGGAGCATCTGTGCTGCAGGCTTGCATTTCTCAAGTGTCCACATTCCTCTAAAGAGAAATGAAATGTTAGGAATGCAACTGATACTTTGGAAAGTACTTTCTTCTTATATCTCCTTCTGGTGTATAGTAACAGAAAGATTAACAAAGTTTGTAAGAACATGTGCTCCTATTAATATCATGTGTAAACAATCCAAAGGCTTTTCAGAGGAGAGGTTGGGAAAAGGTTGTGAATTATGTGGTGGATTAATTCCAGGAAACTGTTGTATCCAATCTGAGGCTAATACTAATAGCTTGCTTCATAGCTATTATTTCATTATTGTTGGGTTTTGTTACTACAACGGGAACTTCTTTCCTAATGTGGAGGATCTTGAATTAAATATTTGACTAGAATACACTGAAGGTAGTATGTTCCAAACAAAGCCCTTTTCATAAGAAAAAAGTAGCAAATGAAGATGATAGAATGTTTTTTCTGCCCTTTCCCCCTTTTCGTGTCTCATCCAAAAAACTGCAAGATGAACAATGTCAGAGTTTGGAAAATGGAAAATAAAAGTAGGTATTTTTTTCCAGGTCATCCTGTTCCATCCTCCCTTGGCTCCTGAATTCAGAACAGTAAATACCTGCCTGAATTTCGTCTCTAAACACACCTGGGTTTCAGTCTGCCTACCAAAGTCAGAGAAATCCTTTATTATGGGAGTATGCCTTTCAGTGCAAATCAGAAGCAAGATCGAGATGGGGCTTGTTAGAGGAAGCCAAAGGCAAAAAAATACCCAGGTGGTGGCTGACTGTCTTGCAGATGGGACCTGAAGTACTGACAGATTTCTAAGTATTACAGTAAATGCACCCAGCATTTGTCTCACACTCTGTTGTTAAAACCTGGTGTTTCTTTTCCAGGTGTCTTTTTTTCGCTGGTAGTCATGATGTATGTCATCTGGGTCCAGGCGATGGCTGATCTGGAAAGCTACACAGACATGAAAAAAATGGATTGCCCAGACTTTGCTGTTTATGTGCGTTATGGCTGGTCTTTTATGCTGGCTCCTATAGGAGTATTTTTTGCTTTATTAGCAGGGATGCTGTTTTTGTTGGTAGGCCGTTCCATTTATTTACACTCAGACTAAATGTACACTGCTTAAGGCAATACAGTAGGAAAGAAATCCTAGTAAAGCTTCATCACTGGAACACAATTTTATACATTACCTTTATGGCAACCCTAAGTGTGCAGGCAGACTTTTGGAAGTTCTTCTGCAGACTTTTGGAAGTTCTCTGTTACTTGTTTAAGGGTAAAGGACACAAAACTCATAAAGGAAACCACCTTTAGCCTCAAATAGTTGTTTTCAATTCTTTAGTAAGTACACTTGTGGTTCTCCATATTGTACTATTAGCAACATATTTGCAGTTTTGCAGCTAGAGAAAGGCAAAATTTTTCTGCAGCCTAAAGCCCAACATGAAGTGTGCCAAGTCAACATTTTATACATCTTTTGTGCTTCTACTTGTGGAAAATGGTACAAGGCAGAGGAGACAACAAGCATTCACACACAGTAATTCAATCTGCCCTCTCTTCTGTTTTCCACTTCTTGCCTTAGCTTCAGTATAAGCAAACATGTCTGCACTTCATAAAAATAGAGTACAGTTGTTCATACAGCATCCGTGCGAAGAGGACGAGAGAGAAGACAATTGCCATGAACAGCGACCTGGTGCTAGTCTGTACATGTATAAGCCTAACTGCTTCCGTTACACGTTTCTCTTTTCTGTATGCATTTGAAAGCTGTATACTTCTGTGTTCTGAAATCCACATATTTTGCATGATTCTATAAGCCAAAATGCCATAGTTAAATCACTAGCTAAAGTTATGCCAAAACTGTACTTTGCATTATAGCATTAATATTTTAACCAAGTTTTAATCCTTTTATTTTTGTCTGGAATAGTCGGCTTCTCCACAAACATTTTCCTGGTTGTGTAAAATTACTTTTTTATTAAAAAAAGGTTTATTATGAAGACAATATCTAGGACATGAAAATGTATATTTCATGTAGCCTTCATTTTCTCAAATATTAAAAATCCACATTAAAGACCAAATCCAACTCACCTACTAGTCATCCCAAGGAAAGCAGTGAGCCTAGCAGGGGAGATGGATTTGGTTCTGTATTGATTGTAGGAGTGGCTGGTTCTCTGTGTATATGTGTGTGCACGTATATTTGGAAGATGGGGTGAGGATGGGACTGTATGCATGGCATGAAAAAGATGGGGTGGGGTTTTAACAATGGGGAAACTGTCTGGCATTGGCCCCAAGTTGAAATTAAATCCATCTGAGAGTCTGTTGGTTTTCACTTTGTAACTCAATGAGGAATAGTTTAGGACTGATGGGGAAAAGTAAAGACTGCATGTTGGTTTCTTCTTGTTCATAATGCTTAATTCCACAGCTGTTATGAATACTGAAAGCATCACTAAAAGGCAGGAAAGGAGTGCCCACCTAGAAGATGTGGTGGGCCAGATTGGATGTTGCTTCCATTTTGGGAGTTTTTGTGATTGGAAACTTTCCAGCCTTCCCTGCTACTTATTTATTTTTCCATCATCAAGATTAGCTTTATACATTTTAGAACAGGAAGACAACAAGGGCAGGGGGTAGGGGAGCTGGGAGTATGAGATCTGGAATAATTACCAAATCACAAAAATATTTTTATTGGCAGCTAACATGGTGTTTTTAATTACTGTGTCAGAGAGTATGATGGGTGAATTTTAACCAAATATTCATAAGCATATATATGAACTCCATATAAATGATAGCCATCCGGAGAACATTAGGCTTACACCATAATGCCGTTGGTTAGTCAGGAAATGCTGAAATTAACCCTGACCCTTGTGCATATGGTATTATATTCCTGCCCTTAATTACACAATCACATACTGTTTCTCAAATAATACAATCTGTTGGTATTTACCCTCTTTACAGTCTAGGATACTCACTGGTAATTGTGGAGGTAAATTCAATAATCAAGAGTTATTTGACTAGGTGCCCCTCCCAAACCCTGTCTGCTTCTCTGCAGGGGAGAGTCCTTCTCCACAAGAGCTTAGAGGGGGCAATACAGAGCCACTTTCTTGCAACTTTTAGAAGCTGAAGAAATTGAGAGGTGCCTCAGAGCTGGACTTCTGCCAGAAAACCTAACCATGTGTGCAGCAGCAACTAATAAACTCTGCAAGGAATGAGCCAAAAGCTCCTGTGGAGACTTTAATTCAGCCCATGTGCATCTTCAGAACTCTCTCCATTATGCAGCTAAATTAGTTACACTCTTGTGTGTGAGGCAGCCTGTCTTGGAGACAACTCTTTGGGTCAGGCTGTGAATGTAATGGCAATTGAAGATCCAAGGTGTTTTGAGAAGAAACTTCAGGAGGCCTTTCTGGTGTCGGTAGAAATTGCTTGAATACTCAGTTCTTTACTCAAACTCAGTCTTGGTAATAGTCTGTAGCTCCATCAAATTGCCTCAGTTGGATGCCACCTTCTCCTAACAGCAGAACTAAGAGTCAGATTCCTTCTGAAAGAGCTGGGACAGGTTGCTTGTTCCCTCCAAAACACACGATGCATAGTAGGTGGCTGCCGCAGACCAGGGAATGGTGTTGAGGGTGGTGGGAAGGCATTTCTGTATGGATATTACCTAAAAGCACAGTCTATCTGTTCTTCTGAACTATGTGCAGGTGAATGGTTTTGTAAGAACTTCAGGAAAGCAAACCATCTAAGGAGACTCACCCCATGGCATTCTTCCAGATATGCTTTTGTCTAGCAAATCCTTGGTGGCAATACAGGGATTTTCATGATTACAGCTGAATAAAAGGTTGTAAAGGGATTAAATACTGTAATCAAAATATTCTGTGAAATTGGTAAAAAAAACATGTTCCTCACAAATCTATGGGCTTTTGAGCTTGTTTTTGGTTGATTGGGATCTTCTTTTTAAATTGCCTGGCCACTTAATAGCCTGAGGTCAAATGGGAAAAAAACAGTTTTTTTTTTTAATTTATTTTTTAAGTAACATGTTTGGGAAAATGATGGTAAGAAACAAGTAGGTGAGAAGCATTTTCTGATTACTTCCAATCTGGCAGTTGTCTGCTTGTCCAGTGCAAACATAGTAAGGACTGTGACTACCGACACAGGAGGCAGTGAGAAAACAAGGGGATGGAGGTGAGAAAGGAGGGTGAGTGTCCCTCTGGTGCCTTTGCCAGCCCGCTGTGCAGCTGTTGTGGATTCCTGGGGGATGCGCTGACACAACATGGCAAAGGCAACTGCAGACAAAAACAGTCAGAGAAGGATTTGCCCCTAGTTTATCCTTGTTACTGATTGGGGTGGCAGCTGGACTTTTCACTGGAGATGAGCTTCATGAAGTATGTGGCTGTTCATTGACGCTTACATTATTGCAGTAAAGCAATGTTCTCCTTTGAGGAAATGCAAAATAAAGCCTACTTTATTTCTCTGGAGGGTGCCTAGCTGTTGCAGCTGAGACTGTACTCTATAGGGTGCTAGTAAACTGCTAGTAGGACAATTGTTAAGTAGGGCCTGTATCGCTGTCTCCATTACGGCAAAATCCTAACTTGCTGCAAAGTATGTTTGCTCAGTATCTTTTTAAGAAGTCATATTTAACCTCGTAAATGAGCTATTTACCTTCTGATGCAGCAGCTGGATTTTCCCCTGGCTCTCCTATTCCTGCCTGTCCTTTCAGCAGTGTGATTTCCCAGCACTGAAGACTAGATAAAGTATGTTCACGTGAAATTCAGCGGTGTTAACTTAAAGTAAGTCTGGATTGCTGCTGCTGCTGCTGTTGGTGGAGACACTGAAATTGAAAACAGAAGCTGATCATGTATAATCAAAAGTGACAGAAGGGATGAGGAATCACAAGTATTTACAGTACTGCATTTCCCTCCATGTCTCTTACTCACATTACCAGTTTTAACTGGTCTATCTTTCCAGTCCACAATGTGACTCATCTGCACAGGAGACATGTTGACAATAGGGATCAGGAGAACCGTTTGACATGAAGGTAAGAAGGAATGGAGGGCTGGCAGCATCTCCTATATTTGACATACCCAAACTCTGCACCTGATTTTTGCCTACATCCCAAAGAGACCAGAGGGGTCTCACGGAGTACTGCAAGACTCCACATTTTGCTGTAAGGATAAGGGGAGGGCCAGGAGCAGAAGTCACCCCATGTTATTTGCTGTAGATCTGTTCCTTATCTGTTCCGAAAAACAGCCAAGCATGTATTTGGTGCAAACTAAGGGGAGCCTTTGGACGGGGAAGGTGCTTTTCACAGCAGGAGACAGCCACCCTGAACTGGGTTGCAGCAAAGAAACGGTCTCAGTGGTGGTGCTTCACATTTGGCACACTGTCCCCCTCCACCATGTGCCTGGGTGCCTGAGGAGATGTTCTCTGAAATGACCTGCACGTGATTCAGGTTTTAAAATGGTTAAGAAAAAGACCTTAAACTAATGCATCTTTAAGATGGAAACAGTTTTTAAACAGAAAGAAACCCAGAAAGATAATGAAAAACGTTACCCCCTCCTTTTCTGTACCACATCAGATTGACTCTGTTATGTGGCTTTACTTTGAAACAGATCATTCTCATTGCAACACGTTTAATGCTGCCAGCCACCACATGGTTATTTGGCAGCTATTTAAAGCTCAGATCATATTACTCTGTCGCAGTGCTAGGCACCCATGTTCCAACTGGTATACAACTGATCTAAAGAGAAATCAGCTTCAGGTTTTGTTCTCTGAAATTAAATGTGACGGCATGATCTCTATGATCCTTTTTTTTCCACTTTTCTCTCTCTCTTTTTTTTTTTTTGTATGCGTTATTAGTTTTTGGAGCAGCATTTTGCTAGCAGCTCAGGGGAAATTTAGTTAGGTTGTCAGCCTGATATAGTGTATTATCAGATGCGTTAGCTTTTCCTCCCTCTTACATTTGCTTAAGAGCTTATAAACCACAGAGAATAAAAAGCGCTAAATAGAATGAAACGACCTGTCAAGGGTAGATATAGTATTTGTGAATGACTTAAAAAAATTCCACCAGCTCCAAGCACTCCAGTCTCATTGACAGTCTGTGGTATCTTGAAATTTGGCTTCTTTCTTCCCCCCCCCCCCCAACACTTTGATGGTCATTGATCTTTGATGGTTGCTTCTTGAAAAGGACTAATTTTGTCTTCCCATATTCAGTCCAGGATGAGATTTTATAGCAGGAGAGGATGCCATTATGAGATTTGAAATAGATTTGAATCCTGCTCTTAATATGATAAGCCTAATCTTGAATTTTACAAAACATTGAACAAAGTCAAGACAAGCGACTCCCAGGAAGGCTTAACCAATAAATACCCTGCAGGGAATTGAATTTTTTTCTATTAATGGAGAATAGGATACTCTTCCATAGGGAATAAAGTGCCTGATGGCATACGCAGGTCATTTTTAACCCTAATAGATATATTAAATCGAGGTACTGAGATGACCAGTGATCATAAATAGGATAGTGCTTACCCAGAAGTTCTGGTGGGTATTGATTAGGAAACTGAAGTTTTGTATGTAATCCTTCTTTCACTTCTTTTTTCTGAAGTCTTGTCTGTGTTGTTTGTCATTGTCCCTGCCACCCCCCCCCCCCCCCCCCCCCCCATGTCCAGCAGTTACATCAAAACCTTTTCAGGGTTTAAAGCTATGCCTTGAACTTTAAATAGCAACTAGTCAACGCAGCATGAACAGCATATCTATATATTCCAGGAGTAATGCTAAGTTTATAACATAACTTGTTTCTTTGGCACGTAAATCACATAATCCAATACAAAAGTACCTTTGCAGTCTTCCTCAAGGAGCAGGCTTTAGGGAAAGAAATGTTAAGGCTCCCTTGGAGCACCACATGCTTCAAGGCACCAGTGTGTTGCTGCCATGCTGCACACTTGGTGCTGAGATGAGCCTGCACAGCTATGTGAGCTGCTCCAGGACCCACACCAGGGTCCAGGCATGGGAGGATACAGCATAAATTCAGTCCCTGGAGATGTCTATGTATTAAGGTAGCATGATCATACCAACTAGCTCCGAAAATGTTAGCTTGAGTACTCTGTCAGCTGATGGTGACTATGCTGTGGTATCAAGGCAGTTAGTCAAAGAGAGAGGAGAAACTGTAACCTGGACAGTTACTCGCTACCTTTCCTACAGAAACAAGGCCCAGACTGCCAGTACTGTGGTTGAATCACTGCAGCTTCAAATGCTTGTTTTGCCGTTGAAGTTGCACAATACACCGTTAATTCATGGGATTCCCAAATGTCAGACGTGTCTGAGGACATG